GATAAGGATTTTGTCGAGAAATATAAAGAGGCTGACTTAGTCCCCGCTTGACCCGCTTACGTTAACTCGCCCCATTCACCGGCGAGTTTCTCGAGTACTTTGCAAACTTTAGCGCGCTCCTAGGTGGGTTATAAGTATAAGTAGCAGTAAGTAAGTAAGCGTGTATACCACGGTTATGTAAAACGTTCACCGTGACGGGATACTTAAGATGAGGACCTTTCCTGTTGCAGATTTACCCAGGTTTGGCAAACCGCTGAACAACCTGACGGTCTCGGTGAGTCGCGAAGCCATTTTGACCTGCATCGTGGAAAATCTTGGCCCGTACAAGGTGAGACGACGCGTCCTCGAGTATCCCTATGTTCACGCGCCGTTGCGACCGCTTTGCAATTATCCCAATGCTGTGTTCTGTTTCTAGACCGTTTTCAAGAAATTACGTCCGTGTGTTGTTGAACGAAAGAATATTTTTGTGTTTTTCGTTTTCTTTACTATCTGAACACTTTACCGACCGGTAGCGGTTGAACTACCGCTCAGTCGGTCACAAATACATCGCTGACACCGGCTCTGTTTAGACTCGAGGCTATCGCGCGGGAATATATGCGCTTTCTCTTGTACCTATAGAAATGTTAAATCAAACTTGCACCGATTAATAGGCTGTCGGTCGAAAAGCGTCGGCGGCAAAAAAAAAAACGATTAATAGGCTACCGGTCGGTAAGCGTTGGCGGCAAAAAGCCGATTAACGCTAAAACTACCGACCGGGTCAAAATGACCCATTAGCGACTTTCCAAAAGTGAATTTTTATGTAAGTAAACCGTGATTGGAAAATTCGATTCATATCGATACAAATGGAAGCACACATGTAGAATATAAATTCGGAAAGTTATAAGCGATAATACTTATTAGTATAGAACATTCACGTTTTTTCGAAAGATGCTAATGGGTCATTTTAACCCGGTCGGTAGTTTTAGTGTTAATAGGCTACCGGTCGGTAAAGTGTTAAGCGGTGCATGGAACGTGAAATGATTTTCAATGGGGAAAAGTAAGATTTTTCTTTCTTTCATTTTTTTGCCGGTGTCGAAATTTGATATTGGAACGCAGTGGAAATAACAAGTCGTCGTTAATGTAACGTGGTATATTTTCTGTGAATATTTGGAGCTTGTATTAAGAGGCACTGAATTTTTTTCGTAGGTAATTACTGTAATTACCGAATGAGAAGCTTCAATTCTTTCAGAGGATGTAAATGTAACTTTCAGACGCTTTATCCAATTTTGAAAAAATAAAAATGTTACTTTACCCTTCTGCTGGAACATCGATTGCTGGCCGCCATCGCCGGCAAGGATTGGAACGGCAGAAACAGTAGATTCTTCTTGATTTATAAACAAAAATGCATTACCTACGATTTAGCTTACGATCTTTCCGATATGTCAATTATTTTAATTTTTATAAACGTTCAAAGATGATTTTTTTTTTGGAAAAAGCCATTTGCCGTTTCTGTAATAATTACAGTTTTTGAAAACTCTTGTGCTACATTATGAGCGACACAGTTTTTCACACGTTCCAATTTTAGTACTAACCAAAGTTTTATAATCTAGCTGAAGAGGTTTCGCAATTAACGAATAACTTCTCCGACTTGCAACATTTTTACTCTTTAAAAATTTGATTTACATCCTCCGTAGAAATTGAAACTTTTCATCGAGTATTCCCGTACCGATTTTTGTACACCTCGGGGTTGTACACTCCCTTAAACAATCCGTCTAATTTATTCGAAGAGTTGCAACCACGTGTCCGTAGAAATTCATAATTTTCACCAAACATTCGATCACCCGGGGAGAATTTCGTTGAAAACAAAAGCTAAGGCAACGCAGAAAAAGGAAGAGGAAAACCAATCACGCAATACTGTTATCTGGCACGCTGCAACCCTGAACGGCGCAGTTTCATCAGTTTCTGAACAGAAATTTTATAGGAACGTAGGAAAGAAAGAAAAAAAGGAACAGAGGAAGGACGTGCAAGAAAATCCGTACGTGAAGATAGAGAAAATCTAACAAACGGTACAAATATATTTCGGGTCAAAGATCCGGTAAGAATCCGTATCCAATGCGTATCTTAGCAACTCCATTTAAGTAGAAATAAAATCCCGCGGGGTGTGAGTTCAGCAGTTTGTTAAGTGGTTCTTGCCCTCTCTTCGTCCCCGCTCGCTCCATTCTACGCCGACAGTTTTATCCGTCTCCATCCTTTTTTTTCTTTTTTTTTTTTTTATTTCTCCTCCCTCGCCCCTGCATCCCAGGACGGTCGAACGTTTCCCCTTAGCACGGCGCCCTATTCGATTCGCCTAACCCTCTTAGCCGAGCTCTTCCTCGCGCCAACCGCAAGGATACGAGTTATAGTTTTCCAGATAGAAGCAGCGCTCGGAAGTACAGCCGTGTTTTGCCAATAAAAATGCGTGGAAATTCTTCCGTGATCGTACACGTATAACTGTGAGCATAGTTCCGAATAGAATCAATACATTATCTTGCCGCTTCGGATGTAAAAACGCCGAAGCGTATCTTGACGGAATACTCGACGAGAAAAAGTAAAGAAACGAAGAAGGAGAAGATAAGAAATAAACAAAGGAAGAAGAAAGAGAGGAAGCAGGAAAATGGTAAGAACGAGTGGCATTTTGTAAGTACTCTTGCGAAGGGCTGCGCTTTCAATAATCGGCAGCTATGCGCTTTCAATAATCGGCAGCTATGCTCGCGATGAAATTAACGCGTTCTATCCGTGGCCCCACCTATTCCATATAGCTCGGGAAACTTGGTACGGTAATTGTAACCCGTGGCCTATCGATATAAATTCGATTAACCTCAACGAAGTAGTTACCGAAGTTAAAGTCGTCGCGAAAGGAAGGCCGCTGCGAGTATATTTACTCGCTACTAACGAATCACGTGAAATTAATGTTTCGCCAGGCGAATTTACATGGTTACCCAGCTGTGCTCCTGTAAACTGAATCTTCCGCTTTTAGATGATAATTGGCCAACTATCCGACGACACTATCGATTGTTGGACGCGTTTCTGTCACCGCGAATTTTCGGCGGAAGGCAAGGTCGTCTATACGGCAATTTGTGAAATAATCAGGGGCTGGTTACTTAGGGTGATATATTATTTACGGCGAGCTTGTAAGCGTCTTATCTCGAATGCATCGAAAACCTAACTTTCTCTATCAGCGGCTAATTTGCTGGAGGAAATTTCGTTAAGATGAAATATTTAGAATGCGTAACTCGGTACCATTTTGCGTTAGTGTCAGCGAGAGGAAACTATTAGATGTTTAGACTCAGAGACGTGGAAATTTTTTTATTCTCAGTTTTCACGCAGAATTAAAGATTTCAGACAGAATTAGAGTAATTTTCTGTTGAAAGATCTGGAGGGTAGAATACTATTTTCTGGCGCAACGTAACAGGGTGGACCACGTAAAACAGGCAACAGGCTGCTGTGATGCTACAAAAAATATTTTATACGTAATTTAATTGGTTTCAAAGGGGGAACAAGGTGGAAAAAAAAGTTTTTTATAAATGCCATTTTTTCTGTTTTCTTTCTTTACTATATTTCTCACTTTTCTATATTTTTCTACTATATGTTGTAGCAGACATTGATGTGCATTTAAGTATGCATAATAATATCACATTTAAATGAACTTTGACTCTAAAATTTTTAATCAGATCTGAAACTTCCTTCATTTTTTGCTTTTTCTTCCATCTTATTCATACGGTACTGCTTTCACGGTTTAATAGGTAGCAAAATTTCGTCAAATAAAGTACTTTTATTCTGGCAACCTCAAACATAAAATGAAATATCTTAATCTTGTATTTCAAATATTTCTTAACAATGAAAATAAGTTGAGAAAGGGAATGATAGCAAATGAGTTCAAGTACATTTCTGAAAATTTTCATGCACAATAAAACTGATCATTTTTGGCATATCAAATTGAGAAAAATGTGAGTATTAAAGGATTAATTACGAATAAATTGAAAGTAAATTAAAGTAAATCAAATATTTCAAAGCGAGAGCCCAATATAAATAAAATTCAATTCAAATAAAATACTTTTAAATACTATTTTGAAAAGTTATTGCAACCAGTAAGCTATTTTATTTTCATAGCTATACGCACGATTTGAAATAAAAAAGGCTATTTAATATTTACTATTTGAAGTAACATTTCGCCGAGCTCTGATTCAGATGCTAATAGAAAGTTTCGATCCTACCCGAGTAGTATATAAACATTGATATTTACACGTTTCCTTTGCAATCCCGGTAAAATTGGCGAAAATTAAGTAATTTTAAGCTGCGAAGTGAAACAATTTCCACATTAGCCGAAGTCAGCTGGAAATTTTAAAATTTCATTAAAGAGTCGAAATTACTTCCTGCGGAAGTGATGGCGCGACAAGGACCCCAACCTTGCCGACCTGTATATTTTTACGACTCCAGGCCTAATTGAAGTTGCTATCCTAAAAATTTGTCGGAGTTTATGATGTTTGTATTAAGGGAATTTTCTTTTTTCGTGTCGTTCAAATAATCATGCTCTCTCGAATTCAGATTTAATTTTCTCTCTCGTCACTCAGCTAATAAGGAACTTATCAATGCCAGGGTAATAATTAATTTAACATCAGATACCTATTTTCAAATTATGTAGATCTGTCTGAATAGAAATATGAGAAAGAAGTTAATTATCTTAGTGGAAACGTGGAAAATCGGGCATTAACGCCGGGCATTAATTATTATTTTATGATAGTAAAGATTAATTTTTCATGACAAGATACTAATATATTTCTTTTCCAAAACCTGTCGATTAATCTGAATTGAAATGTAAAGAAAATGTTAATTATCTAAATGGAAGTGTAAAAAATCGCTATTCACTGCTTTAATCCTACAATAGATATTAATTAGTACTTTGTAATAGTGAAGATTGTGTAGTTTGGTCTACGTTAAAGTTGGGATTAACAACTGGTATTAATAGTTTTTTATTCAATTTACAAGTGAATTTAAAATGGAGCTAAAGTATTTATTTACTTCACCAACGAGTTTCATTTCACTGAACACGAAATAAATTTCACTTTAATAGAACCGTCATTTGACTCTCAGCTTTGCCTAATGCAATAAGAATTAAGTTTCACTTCTACGAGGAAGTAACAAATTTGAAGTGCAACAGTTGAACAAGAATTTTTAACGATTGCGTTAATACATGTAATGTACTTGTTTCGAAGCAATTAAACAAATTTTTATTTGTTCCAAAAATTTGTTTTTATTTGTGTAATTATTCCCCGAATTATTTTGGTTTGCATTCTTAATACCTACATTTTT